TTTTTCAAGCTTGTAGATTTGCTTAAGGATAAAATGGCACCAGCAGAAAATACTTTCGTTGAAGGGTTGTCTGTTGAAAAGAAAATAGCTATTGCAGTTTACAAACTTGCCTCTTGTGCTGAATACCGTGTAATTGCAAAGGGATTTGGTGTATCAAAAAGTACTGTTTGCTTATGTGTTCACAGTTTCTGTAAAGTTTTAATTGAAAATCAAGTCGGAAAATATTATCCTGGCCAAATGCATTAGAATGTGAACGCATAGCCTCGAGATTTGAACAAAAATTTAAACTGCCAAATATTATTGGTGTTATAGACGGCACTCATGTGCCAATTAAACCCCCACAAGACGGTGCTGCAGACTTTCGTAACAGAAAGCGTTATAGTTCCATTGCAGTGCAAGCTATTGTGGGTGATCAATATTTATTTAAAAATATCACAGCACAAAATCCTGGCTGTGCACACGATGCATCAGTGCTTAGGGGCAGTTCTCTATACAAAAACCATAATACATTAATTCCTGAAAGCCATAGGGAAATCGACGCAATTTACAACGCCTCAAATGAAGCTATGCTTTTTAAACTTCCTTATTATATTATTGGTGATGCAGCTTATCCGCTTTGTAACTGGATTATGAAAAATTATAGGGACAAGTTAACTGTTGAAGAGACATCCTTCAACTTATATTTGAATCAAGCACGAATTGTTGTGGAGCAAGCATTTGGTCGCTTGAAAGGAAGATGGAGAATACTTAATAAGAAGAGCGACCTGGATGTTTACAATATGCCGCATGTGATAATAGCGTGCGGAATTCTTCACAATTTTGTGGAGATATCTAACCAACGTTATAATTCCTCATGGGATGTAGAAAGAATCCACGGTGAAAGTGAATATCCCCAACCTGAACAGATGTACAATCGACAAAATTCGTCGTCCGGACATCTTATGCGAGATCATATATGCGCGTACTTGGCGAGAAAATATCCACTTCTACATAGAAGCAATTAAAAAAATAATGTAGAAAAAACCAATTTTTAATTAATTAATTTATACGTTTATTTATAACTAACAATATAATATATATAATATAATATATTTATAACCATTTAAGCTTAATAATAAATTTAAATAATTGAAAATAATAAATTTAATATTAAACTGAAATATTTTTTCAAATAGAGAATAAAAAATAAAAAGATTTTCAAATAGAGAATAAAAAATAAATAATTTTAATTAATTTAAATTCTGCGTTGCAATTAGACCTCTGATAGCACTTTCAATTGTCTCATTGCTACTACGCACCAAATTTTCATTGTGCTTACGCTGCTCTTCCAGCATTTTCGTTTCCCATTCACGCTGTTTTTCCGCTTCCTCGCTAAAGAATTTTTCCTGGCGGCTAATCATAATTTTGCATTCGCGAGACCAACTTTCATGAAAGCTGGACAATGCCTTTGCGTAACTTCCTCTGCCCTTCGATCGATCTAGTCGAATTTGCGTTGTGGTGGTATTCGATGAAGTTCACGTCGAAGGCAAGTCATCTATTCCTAACTCCCAATTCGTTTCATCTGCGTTATTCTGCGGGTTTAAAAATGCGGATGTTGAAGGCAAATCAAAGTCTGAATTGTGCTCCTCTACGTTGTCATTTAAATATTCTTCATTCCATTCGCCTGCAATTAAAAAAATTAAAGTTCGGTAAGAAGATATTTACTTGTATGATAAATTACCATTTAGGTGTTCAATATCAAGAGTATCGCACCCGTTATTTTCAAGTATTGATGATGGTCTTGAGTCAAGGATTTCGCACATCAATGGATGGTATTCCATGCAACTGTTACCACTACAATTGTTATGTTTTTTTATTTCAGAGTATTGTCTCTTTAATACCTGCCACTTTTGTTTAATTTGCTGTACACTTCTGTACCAGCCACTGATTTCCAGTTCTTGGCGAACAATTTCATAAATTGTGTCCTTTCTATATTTTTTGCCGTCTAACAATTTAATTATTTGTTTTTCTGCAAATATTTTAATTAAGCATTCTTCCTCCTCTTTCATCCAATTTTTTCTTTTTATTTCCTTTTTCTCCATATTTTTAGTTAGTGTTATTTGTAATAAAATTCAAATTATTTGCACCTATTCACTGTTAACAGCTGACAATTCAAACCTTAAACTGCTTTTAAGGTGTTTACGCAAAGCGTAAAAGTGACATTTCTTACTAAAAGTGATGTTAAACTACTTTTAGTAAGCTAAAAGTGCTTTTAAGCAAAATTCAATTTAGGGTGTTTACGCGATCTTAAAATCGATTTTAAGAGCCTTAAAACAACTTTTAAGGTTCGCGTAAACGTAGTGAGTTGCACTATTATGAATGATGTAAGGGTTTTAGAGCGCCCAGCTTTAATTGAACTTATTTTGTTTGTATTGTGTTCACTAAGAAACATTAAAATTGAATTCAAATTCTTTTTAAAATAAATAAAAATATATTTTCTTAATACGAAATTATTATTTAATATTACATTACATTAATAAACTAAAGTAATATATTAAACTTAAACTTTAATATTCTAAAAATAAATATGTTTGTACATATATTAATTTTAATATTTTTATAATATGTAGTTATATTTACATTAGGGGTATTCAGGCAACTGATTCGTTGCTTAGTTGATTCAAAAACTTCATATAAAAAAAATTAGCATTTTGATGTTAATTAGTTGCTTGAACGACCCAAAATGCGTAATCTGATTAGTTTGTTGTGTGTAAATGCTTGGCAGTACTCGCATCAACAGCAAAAGTGAAACATACTTGTGTTTGCAAAATTGTTTACACACAATTCAAATAGCTGAGAGAGACAGCTAACCAATTTCTATACTAAAGTTCATTTTTAGTTATTATTACGACACTTGGTATTGGCAGCACTATTAATCAAATTTGTACTAATCTGAGAATCACCGAAATAGTTGATTCTCTCCTTCTCTGCTAATTCTCTGCTAAGCAACTAATCAGTTGCCTGAATACCCCTATTATATGTATATTACATTAAATTAAATTAGTAATATTCATATCTTTTTTAAGCAGTTGAAGCTTAAAGGACCGATATTTATATCTTTTGTCGGTGTTTTCCATAGCCAATTTTAATTTTTCTTGTATTACAGTAAGTTTTTGATCACAATACTCTTGGCTCCCTTCACTAAAATGGTTTCAATATTTTCTAGGCCCCTAGACTATTAAGCTCAATCATAATTTTGTCCCTCATTGGTCTGGAATGTGTCTTATTGCAAATGCCTTTCTTTTTTCCATATTTGCAACAATATTTTTTCCAATATTTGCAACAAGTTTTGCTATCTGCTTTTTATTGCTCCTCAATTTTTTCCTACAACAAAATTTATTAATTTTATTATTTCTTAATTTTATGTAAATACATTATTCGTTGAAAAATATATCTAAGAAATTTGAAAAATGCTTGCGTATGTTGAAAATATTTGAATAAATACACATAAAAATTTAACAAAACAAAACAAAAATGCAACAATCATTATTCTCAATATACATATAACACTACACTTGAAATCAAATATATTAAATATATATTATATTATATTAAATCTAAATGAATTATTACTAACTATTAAATTAGTAATATTTAAGTTATATTAAATTTATATGTTAAATTGACTATATAAAGCGTTTTAACAGCATATATTTTATACGATCGACAAACTTCTACTGCTCAAATGCAGTAGAGAAATTTGTCTACCGCTGATAGAAAAACTTCTATCGGTTTGCACTTCATAATACCAAAATTTGATTTTGTCTATCAGCAGTAGAAATTTTTCTACTGTCTATCAGCGATAGACAATTCATAATAGGCACTATAAGCTAAACACTAGTTCTTTCAATTATTCTCTATACAGAAGCTTTTGGTATGTCAAAACAAACACCAAATTCGCGAAAAGTATTTATATTTGCCATATACCACAAAAATATGTAAATTTCCTTCATTGCTCTCGTTCAATTGTGACCACCACGGTTATTTTGTATTTGCTGATTGGATTTTATTAACAAATCTATTAATATATGAAACATAATTAATATACAGCAATTGTATTTTTTATGCGGAAATACCAATCAAATAATCTTTAACGGAACAATTATTGATCGTTTCCATAAAATTTTCACTATATCCATGCTGATGCACTTCATCCCTTGAGCCTAATACACTTGGACTAGTGTTTAAAAAGAAAATGGAGGAGTCAGTTTTGCTCGATAATTCTAATAAAATCTGCAATTTCCATTTATTTACTATAGAATTAATTTTAAGTTTTTAAGTAAATACTAAATAAAAACTTTATTTTCCATTTTTTAGATTTTTTGTATTCAAAATTTTTTCACTTATTTTTTTAGCGCCAAAATTATTTACATAAATCAAAAAATTTTGTACACAAACCCAACTGGCATAATTCATACGTGGCCAATTATTTTCAAACGTGATCCGTGCAAAATTTGTTTGGTTTTTAAATTTTAAAAATTTAAATATAAAAGAAAATAAAATGAAATAAAATGAATTGATAAGCAAATTAAGCATTTTATCTAAAAAATTTTTTGTTGATTATAAATCGCATCATTAACATGATAAAAATTGTGCTATTTCAATTTGCTTGCTGTGCCAATTATAATGTTTGGCACCGTATATAAAAAACACATAAACAATTTTTACAAAATATTTAGATGAAATATAGCATAAACTAACAAATTTTGCACATTAATTTCTTAAAGCTAACTAAAGCATCAATAAAACATCGATGCATATGATTACTTTGATATCTATGTGTAAACTGCTGTGTACTTTCAGTGCAATACATTAAACTTGTATTTTTTAACTATAAGCATTGAGTAAAAATATTATAGAGTCACAATGACTCAATTTTTAAATTTTCAGCAACAGGCACGGGAGGGCGGAGTGAAGATATTCCTTCTTTCTGCGCTGCTGCTAAATCGGCCGCGCTTATGCTTGTTCTTTCTCAAAATTTTACTATTCAAGAATGAAGGACAAAAATGAAAACAAAAAATAGATTTGCTTGTTGCGTATGCAGGCCGTACAAGAAAAGAAGTCAAATTTGTTTTTGGTGTAATTATTTGTTTTTGTAATTAATGCTAGGCAGCAGCAAGCAGTACGTAAAAATTGCATGCATTTAATATCATTTCATAATGCAAATAAGAGAAACATCCCTACTTGTTTGGAATTTTACTGACCTACATATATATATGTATGTGTATAAATGTATATTTATAAACATATGTACCCAGTAGAAAAAGTGGTCTTCGAAGACATTGTCTTCAAGACGGTCTTTGATACCGCGTCCGCATTTTCAAGCAAATTTGCAAAACAATTGCTCAAAACATGAATGTAAATACTCTTTCTTTGCTTTCTCTCTCATTTTTAGTGTTCATAGCAACGTATTTGAATTTTGCCTCAGATGACGCTGTTTTATAAATGAAGTGACGCAATAATTTTGAAGTGTAGTGAAATAAATATTAAAAAAATCAAAATAAATAAAGAAACAAAATCATTAAACTACGAAATATTAAAAAAAAAGAAATTAAATCAAAACAAATTAAATAGTGACTTAGTTCCTGGAAAAAATATTGATATTAATATTGAAGACAATAATTCCAGTGAAAGTTGTTTTAGAAACGAAACAAAGGATGTTGAAAATAAAAAAACTGAAAACACTTGTGAAAAATTAGCTGTTATATTTAAAAAACACAGGATTAACAGGCGTTGTAGTAATGATATTTTAGAACTCTTAAGATCAGAAGGTTTAATTGTACCAAAATCCTCTTCAACGCTTTTGAAAACATATAAAACTTCAACATTTGATGATAGCGAAATGCTATAAATTATTTTATATTAGTTTTAGTTAATTTTAGATATGCTAAGTTATATTAAGTTAATTATTTAAATTAATTTTCATTATGTTTACTAGTTTTTACTAGTTTATTATTAATATCTT